AAAGCGGGATTAGGCGACACCAAGTCCTACAGCATCACTTTGAAGGTGTAGAACAAATACCGAATGTGGCAACAAGACTTGTTACTCTATCAAGTGCGCTTTGCGCGTCCTTTAAACATTCAAACCGACACACGATGTCATCGACGTACTTTAAATCGGGCAGCTTTTCTCCAGCTGCCCATTTGATACCTATGCTGTGGAAACCAATTAGTGCGTTCTCCAGTATTACGACTACGAAGAAATTGAACAGGAATGGCGAAAGAAGGCACCCTTGACGAACTCCGCTGCTGGTGACGAACGGCCTACCTAATTCGTTGTAAACCCCAACTCAACCAGGTGTCCATGAGTACACTCAGCTCAGTAAGTTGTCGTACTTCTGAGGCACTCCTTTTCGAAGAAGGGAACCCATCAGAGATTCGCGGTCAACTGAGTCGAAAACTCCTTTCAGATCAAGGAACACTGCAATCGTTGGGTGCCGGTGGGTGTAAAAATTTCAACAATACATTCACGGCCAGACCGGAATCCGGCTTGCTGTTCACGGATGTTGGCAACTCTCATAGGAACCAGACGTCGTAATTCGATGGAGGCCAGCACTGTAGTGACCATTGGGATCAAACCTATCCCGCGATGGTTTTCGCAATCGTTGCGAGATCCTTTCTCGAAAATAGAAACGATTAGTGATTTACCCCAAGATGAAGGAATGCGCCAAATGCGTCCGAATGTTGTGCAATAAGGTAATAATACAGCTTACAAAGTCATCTCCACCCATCTTGAAAATAGTGGGATCTTCTGGTTCTACTGGAGGATCGCAGGTCACTGCCCATGGAGCCTTAGTTGCAGATGAAGTAATCTGGCTAGTGCAAAGTCAGCTGAACTGTCCACTGAAGTATTCCGCCCAGTGATCAAATCGTTGATCCCTATTGTGAACAGCATGTCCATTTTCGATCATCGTGCGGTGCATTTGGCAGCTATCACTGGGTGTTTTTAACCATCAGTTACAGTTATCTCGAGGTCCCAAATGCGTAAACCTGACATGACTCATGTGAGCAATTCCATTAGTCAGAGTTCTCATACCCTGCTGAACTGGACACCCGCCCCCAATGGATTGAGGTTTTCGCACACCGCCCCGCTGCCTTACGAGTCGGGCTTTGGCTAGCCAAAGGCTCCGGTTGTGGGTTCCTCAAGAAAATTCACCTGCCTTGGCCTGGGCAACTTGGCAGTATTCCGCCCACATACAAATTATGGAACGTTTTTCTTTTTTTCATAAAGAATATTGTACCACGATTTGTTTGTCACAGTCTGGATTCAGATGTGTGAAAAAAAAATAAAAATAAACGTATGAGCCCTTCCTCTCCCAGAGGGCCACCGGCAATCATGCACTACCATCCTGCTGCCTTGCAGTTAGCACTTGGATGTGCAAAGGCTAGAGATGCCACCTCGACCCAAAACCGGGGGGAATCTCATAGAAATTTTCTTGATATACATAAAGCCGGCTTATCCTCTCTCAGGTACCAACCACTGTTAGGTAAATAAGTAACGCCGCTGTCTACACCGCATTACGCCGGTGTCGTGGGGCAACCAGACAAACAAAAGAGATTAGGCTCACCATTCTAGGTCATCCTAATCGTGTTTGGGTCCAGGGGATAACTGTGCCTGAGGGTTAGAGACACTCAGTGATATTACTGAGCATCGTAGGCAGTGGTGCTCCTGCATCTTCCTAATCTTTTTGCAACCTTGATTTACCTGTAAACTGTGTTTTCATATTTACATTGTTTTCAACATACCAGGCTTACCTCTACTCCTCCATCTCATCGGAAAGCTACCAAAGGGCCGTAGGAAAGTGCATGTTTACCGGTTGTTAAAACTGAGAGTGAACAGTTCCAAAGACTGTGGAAGCATGAGGAATTCATCAGTACGGCTGGAGGTGGACGGTGATACCATTTTCATCAAGAAGTTATGGTGAATACAGAATAACATTGGATGACAAACTGGGGCAAAAGGTTTGCACTACTGTTGGAACAGAAGATATCCTGTTTCGATCCGACGGTTCGTCTCATTCATCACTGGTCTACCTTAAAGACGCACACTACTATTACACCAGAACTCCTGATACTGCATTACGATTACCACACCCTTTAATCTTGCGATTTTTCGCCCGTTGGTTTATCCATTTGGTATGGAATCTTTCCATCAGTCCTGCTACGTATTCAACATTAAGAACATCATTGCATACAGATACACCATACTATTAACATACTATTAATTACTTTTACACCGCTATGCTGTTACGCAGAGTTGGGCGGTGGTGGCCCGGTGATATCACTCCATTATCACCCTTGAGGAAATGTGTTCAAATTCCATCATCACCACCACCGCCTGCCCTATTATGTGTTGTATGGCAGCACGTTGATTGACCGCTTCCCACTTCCTGAAAATTGCATCTTTGTGTATCCAATAAAGGAAGCAAAGACGAAAAATAAAAGAAACTATCGCAGTAAAGTAGCCAACATTAGAAAAATATTGAATTAGTCGATATATTCACTTAAGACTTCGCCAAACGAAACAAGACAAATATGGGCACGTGAAAAGTATACTGCCAAAGAAAAACAAGAAAATACTCAAAGTATTACGCATGGCTAAATTAGATTTATTGGATCCAGGTGCAGCATATTTATTTTAAGAACAATAGATGCAAACAACATGAAATAAGCGACCAGGAAAAGCATGGACTAACACTCACTTTATTCAGTTCGTCGATTCGACGGATTTGATACGGAGCAGTTGCCGAGGACTCGAAGTATACAAAGTCTGAAATAAACGAACAATAGAGCCCTCATGAATTTTACCAAAAGGCAATAATCTAGAATGTCAAAAACATTAAAATCAAATCACAGACAGTAGAGCTACATTAAACAAAATGTTTCTTCATCAGTCAATACGTAATACGTTTTTCTATAAGCGTTATGTTGACGACAAGTTTGCTGTTGTCAAAGACAAGAATCATGCTAAAGAAATGTTAAAACCTTTGAATTGCTGTCATCCTAACATCAAGTTTACCGTAGAACATGAGTCTAAGACATCTTTTCAATTCATGGGTGTCAAACTCACGAGAAGGGAAGATGGATCACTTCTCAGGTCTACATACCACAAACCAAATTGGACCGGACAGTAGCTGAGCTTCAGAAGCTTCTATTCAATACAATACAAGGGAGCCCTAGCAAAGGGAATGTTTTCTAGAGCAAAACGAATTTGTTCTGCGGAAACACTTAAAAACGATCTTGAGCTGATATCCTGTGGATTAAAGGATAACGGGTATTCACGGAATTTCATCGCAAAGTACGGCAACAACATAGATACCAGGACTAGGCGAAACGGCGTACCAAAGAAAAACGTTCTCATCACATTACCCTTTAAAGGTGATCAGAATGAGAGAACGTCACAACGTCGGCTGAAACAAGCTCTGTCATTAACGTACAACGCCGCTTCGCTTATTATCCTCCATAAAACCAGACGGATGATCACTGAATCCAACTTGGACAAGCTAAGCTCTCAAGTTACCTCCTCGTGTATTTACCTATTTCAATGCACTTGCGGTAGCAAGTATATCGGNAGGACGAGTGTTCGAATCCCACCACCACCGCCTGACTTTCCCCATTTGTGTGTTGTATGGCAGCCCTTTGATTGGCCGCTTCCCCCTTCCTGAAAATTGTATCTTTGTATATTTAATAAAAGGAAGTAAAATGAAGAGAAAAAGAAGAACTGAGAGACGCTTGGCCACTCGGATTTCAGAACACGTCCCGAAAAATTTAGCACTCAACGGCCCCAAGATCCCCTCCAGCTCTATTGCCCGC